AAACTGAAGACTCTTCTCTAGGATATAATGGTTACATGGTTTAAGATAGTGGATACTGGCACAGAAAACAAGTAGATGAATGTAAGCAAAATAGAGCAATCCTTCTTCAATCAGAGCATTTTAAGCCTGATGTCCAAGGCATCCATAAATAATGAATACCTATTTCTTACTGTGGCTCTAAAATGATACTGGTTGTATACGGTCTTTTGAGAACATAAAAATGTAATCATTTCTGTGAAGCTTTAATTTCTCTGGGATTCCTCAAATTTGTATTTTTTTTTTCCACAGTCTTGAACTCAGAGAACTGGAGCAGAAATTAAACAACGCAGCTTACATGAATAAAGAGAGGGAGCCCAGATTGCTTGAAAAGGATGCAATTAAATTTGAGCAAATGGTAAAATTACTCTGTTCATTATTTTTTAAATGTTTTTAGCTTTCATTTAGAAAACAAAAATATCGGTTTTTGGGAGAATTGTTGTCTTCTGGAAAGAAATTACACTGTTAGACTTTCCCAATACCAGGCATCAAACATCTTCAGTGATTTCATATGGAACTCTGTTTAACCTAGTATTAGAGCTTTCAGAGGTCCAGGTGCTCACCTCCTTCTTTTGTGCTGACTGTCATTAGCAATACTGTAATTGGTGAATAACCTGAGGTGAGGCAGGTGTAGAAAAAGATGGGGAAACTTTGTTGCTAAAGCACTTAGGTCTATCTTTCAGTAATAAAAAATAGCCGCAAAGGTTACTATTTGTCCCGTGGTTTTGTAGTTTTTTAATCATCCTTGATAGTTGAGGTGTATTCAAAGCCATTGTAGACATTTTAATCTGACTCTAAAAGAATTGTTCTATTTTCTTTTTTTTTATTTTAATTTTTTTATTATTCAGTAGTGCATACAAGAATGTTGGTATTTATCCCCCTGCCCCACCCTCCTTACCACCCATTGCCCCTCCTCTTCCCCCCCCATACCCAGCAGAAACTATTTTGCCTTATTTCTAATTTGTTGAAGAGAGAGGTATAGGCAATATAGGAAGGAAAAGGGTTTTTGCTGGTTGAGATAAGGATAGCCAAACAGGGAGTTGACTCTCATTAATTTCCTGTTGGTGTGTGGTTACCTTTTAGGTTAATTCTTTTTTTTTTTTCTTTTTTGTTTTTTCTTTTTCTTTTATTATTCTCATGTGCATACAAGGCTTGGTTCATTTCTCCCCCTGCCCCCCTCCCTTACCACCCTCCGCCCCTCTCTCCCCCCCAATACCCAGCAGAAACTATTTTGCCCTTATTTCTAATTTTGTTGTAGAGAGAGTATAAGCAATAATAGGAAGGAACAAGGGTTTTGCTGGTTGAGATAAGGATAGCTATACAGGGCATTGACTCACATTGATTTCCTGTGCGTGGTGTTACCTTCTAGGTTAATTCTTTTGATCTAACCTTTTCTCTAGTTCCTGGTCCCTTTTCCTATTGGCCTCAGTTGCTTTTAAGGTATCTGCTTTAGTTTCTCTGCATTAAGGGCAACAAATGCTAGCTAATTTTTTAGGTGTCTTACCTATCCTCACTCCCTTGTGTGCTCTCGCTTTTATCATGTGTCAAAGTCCAATCCCCTTGTTGTGTTTGCCCTTGATCTAATGTCCACATATGAGGGAGAACATACGATTTTTGGTCTTTTGGGCCAGGCTAACCTCACTCAGAATGATGTTCTCCAATTCCATCCATTTACCAGAATGATAACATTTCGTTCTTCTTCATGGCTGCATAAAATTCCATTGTGTATAGATACCACATTTTCTTAATCCATTCGTCAGTGGTGGGGCATCTTGGCTGTTTCCATAACTTGGCTATTGTGAATAGTGCCGCAATAAACATGGGTGTGCAGGTGCCTCTGGAGTAACCTGTGTCACAGTCTTTTGGGTATATCCCCAAGAGTGGTATTGCTGGATCAAATGGTAGATCAATGTTAGCTTTTAAGTAGCCTCCAAATTTTTTCCAGAGTGGTTGTACTAGTGTACATTCCCACCAACAGTGTAAGAGGGTTCCTTTTTCCCCGCATCCTCGCCAACACCTGTTGTTGGTGGTGTTGCTAATGATGGCTATTCTAACAGGGGTGAGGTGGAATCTTAGTGTGGTTTTAATTTGCATTTCCTTTATTGCTAGAGATGGTGAGCATTTTTTCATGTGTTTTGGCCATTTGAATTTCTTCTTTTGAGAAAGTTCTGTTTAGTTCACTGCCCATTTCTTTATTGGTTCATTAGTTTTGGGAGAATTTAGTTTTTTAAGTTCCCTATATATTCTGGTTATCAGTCCTTTGTCTGATGTGTAGCTGGCAAATATTTTCTCCCACTCTGTGGGTGTTCTCTTCAGTTTAGAGACCATTTTTTGATGAACAGAAGCTTTTTAGTTTTATGAAGTCCCATTTATCTATGCTATCTTAGTTGCTGTGCTGGGGTTCCATTGAGAAAGTTCTTACCTATACCTTAACTCCAGAGTATTTCCTACTCTTTCCTGTATCAACTTTAGAGTTTGTGGTCTGATATTAAGATCCTTGATCCTTTTGAGTTAATCTTGGTATAGGGTGATATACATGGATCTAGTTTCAGTTTTTTGCAGACTGCTAACCAGTTTTCCCAGCAGTTTTTGTTGAAGAGGCTGCTTTTCCATCGTATATTTTAGCTCCTTTGTCAAAGACAAGTTGGTTATAGTTGTGTGGCTTCATATCTGGGTCCTCTATTCTGTTCCACTGGTCTTCATGTCTGTTTTTTGTGCCAGTACATGCTGTTTTTTTGTTATGCTTTGTAATATAGTTTGAAGTCAGGTATTGTGATACCTCCATTGTTCTTTTGACTGAGTATTGCCTTGGCTATTCGTGGCCTCTTGTGTTTCCATATAAATTTAACAGTAGATTTTTCAATCTCTTTAATGAATGTCATTGGAATTTTGATGGGAATTGCATTAAACATGTAGATTACTTTTGGGAGTATAGACATTTTTACTATGTTGATTCTACCAATCCATGAGCATGGGAGATCTCTCCACTTTCTATAGTCTTCCTCAATCTCTTTCTTCAGAAGTGTATAGTTTTCCTTGTAGAGGTCTTTCACATCTTTTGTTAGGTTTACACCTAGGTATTTGATTTTTTTTGAGGCTATTGTAAATGGAATTGTTTTCATATATTCTTTTTCAGTTTGCTCATTTAGTGTATAGAAATGCTAATGATTTTTCTATGTTGATTTTATATCTGCTACCTTGCTATAGCTATTGATGGTCTAGAGCTTCTGAGTAGAGTTTTTTGGGTCTTTAAGGTATAGGATCATGTCTCTGCAAATAGGGATTTTTGACAGTTTCTTTACCTATTTGTATTCCTTTTATTCCTTCTTCTTGCCTAATTGCTCTGGCTAGGAATTCCAGTACTATGTTGAATAGGAGTGGAGATAGTGGGCATCCTTGTCTGGTTCCTGATTTTAGAGGGAATGGTTTCAGTTTTTCTCCTTAAGTATAATGCTGGCTGTAGGTTTGTCATATATAGCTTTTTAATGTTGAGGTACTTTCCTTCTATTCCTAGTTTTCTTAGAGCTTTTATCATGAAATGGTGTTGGATCTTATCAAGGCTTTTCTGCATCTATTGAGATGATCAAGTGGTTTTTTCTTTGCTTCTGTTAATGTGGTTTATGTTTATTGATTTTCGTATGTTGAACCACCCTGCATCCTGGGATGAAGCCTACTTGGTCGTGGTGAATAATCTTTTTGATGTGTTGTTGAATTCGGTTTGCCATTATTTTGTTGAGGATTTTTGCAGCAATGTTCATTAAGGAGATTGGCCTATAGTTCTCCTTTTTGGAGGTGTCTTTGCCTGGTTTTGGGATAAGTGTAATACTGGCTTCATAAAATGTGTTTGGCAGTTTTCCTTCCCTTTCTATTTCATGGAACAGTTTAAGGAGGGTTGGTATCAGTTCTTCTTTAAAGGTCTGATAGAATTCAGCAGAGAATCCATCAGGTCCTGGACTTTTTTTTGGGAGACTCTTGATTGCTGCTTCAATTTCATTTTGTGTTATAGATCTATTCAGGTGATTAATTTCCTCTTGGTTCAGTTTTGGATGATCATATGTATCTAGAAATCTGTCCATTTCTTTAAGATTTTCAAATTTATTTGAATATAGGTTTCAAAGTAGTCTCTGATGATTTCCTGGACTTCCATGGTGTTTGTTGTTCTCCCTTTTGCATTCCTGATTCTACTAATTTGGGTTTTTTCTCTCCTCATTTTAGTCAGGTTTGCCAGGGGTCTATCGATCTTGTTTATTTTTTCAAAGAACCAACTTTTTGTTTCATTAATTCTTTGTATGGTTTTTTTTGGTTTATTTCATTGATTTCAGCTCTTATTTTTATTATTTCTCTCCTATTTGTTTTGGGATTTGCTTGTTCTTGTTATCTGCTTGTTCTTGTCTAGGAGTTTGAGATGTATCATTAGGTCATTGACTTGGGATCTTTCAGTCTTTTTAATATATGCACTCATGGCTATAAACTTTCCTCTCAGGACTGCCTTAGCTGTGTCCCATAGGTTCCGGTAGGTTGTGTTTTCACTTTCATTGACTTCCAGGAACTTTTAATTTCCTCTTTTATTTCAATGACCATTGTTCATTAAGCAATGAGTTATTTAGTTTCCAGCTGTTTGCATGTTTTTTGTCTTTACTTTTGTTGTTGAGTTCTAGTTTTATTGCATTGTGATCAGATAGTATGCATGGTATAATTTCTATTTTCTTATATTTGCTGAGGCTTGCTTTGTGCCTAGGATATGATCTATTTTGGAGAAGGTTCCATGGGCTACTGAGAAGAATGTATATTGTGTAGAAGTTGGATGAAATGTTCTGTAGACATCAACTAGGTCCATTTGATCTATTGTAATTTAGATCTTGGATTTCTTTATTGATTTTTGTTTGATGACCTTCTATTGATGAAATGGGGTGTTAAAGTCTCCCAACACTGTGTTGGAGTTATATATGCTTTTAGGTCTTTCAGGGTATGTTTGATGAAATTGGGTGCGTTGACATTGGGTGCATATAGGTGAATAATTGTTATTTCCTTTTGGTCTATTTCCCTTTTATTAGTATGGAATGTCTTCTTTATCTCATTTGATCAATGTAGGTTTGAAGTCTACTTTGTCCAGATAAGTATTGCTACTCCTGCCTGTTTTTGGGGGCCATTGGCTTGGTAAATCTTCTTCCAGCCTTTCATCCTAAGCCTATGCTTATTTCTGTCGGTGAGATGGTCTCCTGTAAGCAACAAATTGTTGGATCTTCTTTTAATCCATTTCAAAGGTGCCTTTTGATGGGAATTAAGTCATTAACATTAAGTTAGTACTGATAGGTATGTGGTGATTCCTGTCATTTAGTTGTCTTAGTTGTTTGAAGGTTTGATTGTGTGTACTAAGTTGAGTTACTCTACTTTCTTGCTTTTCTTTTCCTGTAGTTTGGTGCTGGCCTGTCCTTTTCATGGTTATGTTGGGTTTCACTTTCTGTGTGCAGAATCCCTTGAGAATCCTTTGTAGTGGTGGCTTTGTGGTCACATATTGTTTTAGTTTCTGCTTATCATGGAAGACTTTTATTGCTCATCTATTTTGAATGATAGTTTTGCTGGGTAGAGTATCCTGGGTTGAAGTTTTTTCATTCAGTGCCCGAAGATCCTCACCAAGCTCTTCTTGCTTTTAAAATGTTTCTGTTGAGAAGTTGCTGTGATTTTGATGGGTTTTAACTTTGTATGTTGTTTTTTCTCTCTTACAGCCTTCAATATTCCTTCTTAGTTTCTGAACTTGTTGTTTTAGATATGATGATAGTCATGGGGTAGTTCCCCCCCCCCCCCCCCCCCCCCCCCCTCTCCCCCCCCACCCCCCCCACCCCCCCCCCTCCACCCCCCCCTCCCCCACCTCCCCCCCCTCACCCCCCCCCACCCCCCCCCCCTCCCCCATCCCCCCCCCCCCCCCCACCCCCCCCCCCCCCACCCCCCCCCCCACCCCCTATTTTGATGTGTCTGTTTTGGTGTTTCTGAAGGCCTCTTGTGTCTGTATGGGATTATCTTTCTTCGATTTGGAAATTTCCCATTATTATTTTTCTTAAATATATTACGCATCTCCTTTTGCTTGTTCCCTCTTTCCTTCTTCGATGCCCATGATTCTCAAAGTTGTTCTTTTGATGGAGTCAGTGAGTTCTGCATTTTTCTTTTCACTAGGTCTGAGGTTTGTTTAATAGTTCTTCAGTTGTTCTTTAATTACCATTTCACATCTTCAAGTTCTGAGGATTCTGTCTTCCTGTTTGTTCATTTGCCTGGATTGGCCTCCGTTTTGTTTTGCATTCTGTTTCATTCTTTTTTCTGAGGTTTTTCCATATCTGGGTTGTTTCCTCTTTAAATGTTGTCTATTTTTGTCCTGAGTTTACTTTATCCTCTTTTATTAATCGTGGTTCTCTGTTTTCATTTTGGTGTTTATACAGTGCTTCTATGGTTTCCTTTATTTCTCTTTTGCTTTTTCCAATTCTCTATTTTTGTTGTCTTGGAATTTCCTTGAGTGTCTCTGTATTTTGTTGGACCAATATCCAGGTACTGTCTAAGAAAATTCTTATTGGGATATTGGTAGATGTCTTCTTTTAATTAATCTTGGTGGGCTTCATGGGTTCTTTGGTATAGTTTATCTTCATTTTGGTTTGGAGTCTGGATTGAGTATCTGTTTTCTTCATTCCCCTCTGGTCCTGTACTAATTTTTGCTGTGGGGAAACTGGTTTCCCTGTTTTTTGCTTCCATCATTGCTCTTGTGTTGTTATTGTCCTGTACTGTGTGCAATTAAGTATTTTCTGGCTGTAATAATAGCACTAATGATATTTAGAATGGAAGGTTGAGAGGGGATGGAAAGCAAAGAAGTTAAAGGAAAAGGGAAAAACAAATAATCAAGTAGAAAAAACCAAAACAAAACAAAGAAACAAACAAAAACAGTTTCGAAGATATAAACAGGAAGAGACAGTATACTAATCAACCGTAAACTGAAAAGGCATTAGAGAGACAGAGAGAGGATTGCAAATAAAACATAAAAAGAATAAAGAATAAAAATTAAAAGTAAGTAAATGAAAGAAATATCTATATATAAAAATGAATTAAAATAAGATGAAAAATAGAAAATTTTAAAAAAATACAAAAAACTAAAAATACCCAAAAACCTCCAAGTTCAAATGCAATGAAGTTTCAGTATTAATAATTTGGGTGTCCGTCTCAGTCTCCAGTCCTGGAGATGGTGCCTCAGATGTTGTTCTGTAGCTGTCTCATCAAAGGGACGCATAAAGTAGAACAAAACGACACACACACACACACACAAAAAACCCCACCAAGTGTCCCAAGTTCAAATGCAATACAGTTTCAGTAAGTTTTTCAGCATGCAGGTGTAGTTTGGTTGTTTTCTCATCAAAAGTAGGGAGAGAGAAAAAAAAGCATCTGGAGACAGTTCTGAGAGTAGTATCTGTGGCTGTGGCTTGCCTGCCCGCTGCTGTCAGCCTGCTGTAGCTGGCAGCATTACTTATGCAGATCTCTGGGGTGAGCTTAGCACTCACCTGGCCCTGCAGGCTTTGTTTATCCAGAGTTCTCCTGTGTGTGAGCTGCTGCTCCAAGCTTTCCCCTTTCCAAGCACACTGGGGGAGGTGACACTGCACCCGCTTTCTCAGGCCTGCATGTTTATTTACAGCTCATGTGGGAATTGGGTCTTCCCCCCTCTCCTGTGGAGTTTTCCTCCCTCCGCCACTCTCACAAGCTTTCCCGCTCCTGGTTGCTGGTTGCTTGCCCCCACTCCCACCCTCTCCGGCCAGGCCCAGCTTGTTTATTTAGAGTTCCGGGAGGGATTCCTCCCCCCGCTCTTTGGCACTCAGGGCACCCCACCCTCTTTGCTACGTGTCTTTATTGTTCTTATTGCTTATTACTAAGTTTCTCTTTTTTCCCTGGGTGGGGGTCAGTCTGTCCAGGGGGATATGCTGATCTGGCCCAGGGTTGTCTGTGGGAGTACCGTGTACCACTTAGCTCACCTTGTGGTCCATGTCTTCCCAAGCCGTCTGGGCGCGGGTGACTGGCGGCCCTCCTGGTTTCTCCATTCAATGTGAAGTGGAGATTCTTGGTGCTGGCTGGATGTGTGGCGGGGTCAAAGTTTTGCCTCTTCTCAGTGGCCTTGCCTGCAAGGTGTGTCTCCAGTGTCTCTCCAAGATTTCACTTTAGGAGACACGCTTTTTGCTTCCTCCCTCTAGCCGCCATCTTGGAAATCCCCCAAAGTTGTTCCTATTTTCTAAATGAAAATTGACCCACACACTTGGAGCCAAATACTTCTGTCAGGATATCTAGGTACTAGTTTTGGCTCTGTCTCCCATAGTTTTCTTTTCTCTAAAAGAGAACATTGTATTTTTGTAAATGTACTAATCTATATGTAAGATTTTGTCATTTTGTATTTTTTAAAGCACTTAGTACAACATGTAGAAAGAAAAGAAACAAATCTGATTAAGTAACATTAACAGGGTATATTACAGAAGGCATCAGTTACATCCGGAATGACAATCAGCATTCAATGACAATCAGCATTCCTATTCCACTCTCTTTGATGGTGCTAAATCATTCCTGAATTTGGGTTGTGATCTTAAAACCAAAGGATGATTTTAAAAATTGCTCCAGTACATTTAATTTAAATTTTATTTTATTAAGTGATTTTAAATGCTCAAAACAATTAAGGGGTTTAATCCACCCAAGAAAAGAACTGTTTCTAACTAAGCAAGAATGGTATTCAGTGAATTAAAAACTGCAGAAAACAGGCACAGAAACTTATGTGACCTTTGTAAGTTGAAGTTTGTACCTCAGCTATATAAAAGGGCCCTTAATAAACCAGAAGGAGGAAATTCAAGGGCTATCACAGGAACCAAAGTTTTGCCTGGTAGAAACTTGAGAGGTGTTCAGTCACTTAATAGCAGACCTGGAGAGAGACAGTACTACAGATACTATAGTGCTATAGACACCAGCTGACAAACAGTGGGGCTCAAAACTATGAAAGTGCCTAGATCAACTTCTGAATAGCAGGAAAGATGGGTACTGCTTTAGCAGTTAAAATAGTTATTAATAATGTTTTTGTATATTTTTTTGAATCTTGACTTAATTATTCTTAGCAGGTGATGCCCTGAGAGAGCTTCTTGAAATAGCAGGAAAGCCTCTCTGGGGTCTGACTGGTCATTTGCCCCCTTCAGGTCACAGCAACTCATTCTTGGTTTTTATGTAGTAGACAGATGAAAAATACTTATTTTATGTAACAGGCCAAACCTAAAACTTGAAAGTGTTTAATGTGCCCACTATAGAGGAGCTAATAAAGTAATCTTAAATGAAAAAAAAAATAATTAAGATAGCCTATGATACTGTGCTCAAACTTGAAAATGGAAAGCTACGTTTTGTTTTAATTTCAGAAACGCAATGCTGAAATAGCCAAAACCATGATGGAAGAACATGAGAGAGTAGTCAAGGAAGAGAATGCTGCAGAAGACAGGCGAAACAGAGAAAAGGCACAGTACTGTCACGACTTAGAGAAACAGCTTGAAGAACAAGAAAGAAAAAAGCAAGAGGCTTATGATGAGCTGCTGAAAGAGAAACTCATGATTGATGAAATTGTGAGGAAGATCTATGAAGAAGACCAACTGTAGGTGTATCCCAATTTTCTTATATGCCTGATACTTAGTAAGTGCTCAATAAATGTAGCTATGATACATACCTTCAATTGAAAGCAACTCCATTCACCTTTGTCAGAATGATCATTAGTAAATTATCTGATAATAAGTGACCAGATGAACAAAACCTTTGTTTTTACTAAATATGCACATATTTTATGCCAGAGTACATGTTTTCTGGTGAATTTCCTTGGTAGGCACATAGAGCATTGCACTGTTAAGGTTAACAGGTTGTAGCCTTTGTAAAATGAGCCTCTGAAAACTTCATTAGGTAAGTAGAGAGGCATACCAATATTTTGATTCATGCCTGGCCTTCCATGTAGTGGCATACAAAATGTTTATTGCTTTAATGAATGAACAGACCATAAATACAAAGGGTATGTCCCCCACATTATTATCAACAGAAGGAAATTGCTTTTTCTCTTCCGATATTTTATTATTTCTGTAATGGTTGCTGTTTTAGGGAAAGACAGCAAAAGCTAGAAAAAATGAATGCAACTCGAAAATATATTGAAGAGTTTCAGAAAGAGCAGGTGCTCTGGAGAAAAAAGAAACGTGAGGAGATGGAAGAAGAAAACAGAAAAATCATCGAGTTTGCCAGTGTACAACAGCAAAGAGAAGAAGAGCGAATGGCAAAAGTTCAAGAAGCCGAGGAAAAAAGGCTACAGCTTCAGAACACAGTATGAAATACCCCCTCCTTCAAGACCAATGAAATTCTGAAACAGTTGTAGAATTTGGGTACTATAAATATATATTTTTAAATTTAATAGCTGACTCAGAGATTGGAAGCAATGCTGCGGCAGCGTGAAGACTTGGAACAAGTGCGACAAGAACTGTATGAGGAGGAGCAGGCCGAGGAGTGCAGGAGGAAGCTAAAAGTAAGTCTCAGAGTCGGACGAATGGCTGACGTAGAGAAGTGTAAGTTTGAGATGAAGCAGTGAAAGATCGTGGGTTTAAGCACAGCCGTATTGACGTTGATGTAGTGTATGGATGCTGTAAATGCTGTGGTTAAAAGACTGAAATTTTCAAGCTGATTAAAAAAGTTAGACTCAGGTAGCAAGCCAGGAACTGTACCATAAAAGGGATGATGCGATTGTGAGGTCCACAGTCAACACAATTTCAGTACGAGGACACGGAGTTTAAAAGCAGAAAGGTGAAGTACACATGCACACAGTAACAAATTAAAAGCAGGTTGAAGTGTCTTCATTAATAGGAGACAAAGTCAGCTTTAGGACAAAGGGGTTTTGTCAGAATAAATTCATTTAGTGACTGTACTAAGTCTAACGGTGTATGAACCTAAACAACAGAGCTTCACCACACGCGAGGTAGACTGACAGGAGAGAGAGACAAATCCACGAGTGGAGTGAGATTTCAATACTCCTTTCCCACTCATCCACAGACTAAGAACTCAAACCCAGGGGACGTGCTGAGCAACAACAGCAACACACCTCCCAGGTACATTAGCGTGCTTCACCTGCAGGAGCAGAGTACCGCTCTGCTCAGGTGCACAGGACGGTCACCACACAGCTCACGATCCAGGACATAAAGGAAGCCTCAATATATTTACAAGGTTTTAAATCATACCAAATGTTTTCTTCAACAAAAATTAAATTAGAAATCAGTAATGAAAATATACCTGTGTAATCCTTAAATATTTAATAGTTAAGTAATACATATTTTAAATAAGCAATGAGAAAAGAAGAAATCAATGGAAATTAGAAGTTTCGGACTGACAGTAAGAGTTTGCCAGAATATGTGGGATGCAGCTGAAGACTGCTTGGTGGGAAGATTATGCCTTTAAGTACGTATACGAGAAAAGAAGAATGGTTAAGAATTAGTGCTCTTAGGTCTACACAAAAATTCGTACATTCAGGACTGGAAGAGTGGCTCAAGTGGTAGAGCACCTGACTGGCAAGTATGAGGCCCTGAGTCCAAACTCCAGTACCACCGAAAAATGTATGTAAATGTCCATAGCAGCATTATTCAGGGCAGTGAAAACGTGGAAACAGCCAGTGTCCATGGATTGATGAATGTGTGCACAAAGTACAGTGTGTGTGTAGCAGAATGTTACTCATCCCTAAAAAGAATGAAATGCTGACACGTGCTACAGCTGGGTGAATCTCTCATTGTACCTTAAGACCTTGGGAATGTTATAGAGACGGATGCAATAATGTGACGCCTCCTGAGATCAGCTGCTTTCACTAAGAATTCCCTGGAGATTGGAGGCAGCTGCAGAGCACATTCATGGGCACTGAGAGCCACTGTGCTGACAGCTTCCGAGAGCATGGGTGTGGGTGGCAGCAGGAGCTAACATCCCGTCCCATCCCTAACCAACAGGATAGCAACTAATGGGAGAATTCTCTGTCCTCTTTCTGGGAAGTTCTGGAAGGTGCTGCATGCATTCTTCCCACAGACCTGACAGGATTGAGCTTGTGTTGCCCAGAGTTGTAATCAGCTCAGTGTTTCATCCTTGTGTAGGCTTTTTTTTATCATCATCATTTTCCCATGCTGGGAATTGAACCCAGGGCCTTGTGCATGCTAGGCAAGCACTCTGTCACTTGAGTTATGCCCCCAGCCTTTTTACTTTGTTTATGAGACAGGGCCTTGTTACTGCCTTTGACTCAGCTGGCCTGAAACTTGTGATCTTCCTGCCTCCACCTCCTGAGTAGCTGGGATTACAGATGTGTACCACTACGCTCAGCTTTGTGCTGGCTTTTTTTCCTTCTGTATTTTACTTTGCTTGTCTCTCACTGCTGTTTCTGGGATTGTGTGTCCCCAATAAAATATCTAGGTATGAGTCCTTGTTTAAGGCTGAACTTCCAGAGGATTGCCCAACTCAGATAATACTCATTTCCAGGATCAGAGTAGTTTGATAGTAAATTATTTCGAAGTTTCAATGAACACCTATTTCTGTAACCACATAATGGGTTTTAAAACACAGAAAAGGGTGCAAAATTATGTAGTTTGTACCACATAACTAGCATAATGCTGATTCAAACCTATTGAAGAGTACATGAACACTTTTGTAGTTGAAAAATATTTGGCCAAACATGTCCCCGCTTTTTAGCTAGATGTCTTCACCAACACATTAAAGTACAATTTTGCATGGAAGATGGATTCCAGGAACTATTAACTGTATAAATGTTTTAAATTTCGTACACTATATAGAGAATTTCTGTGTGCAAAATGTTATAAATTCTCAAGGAATTTCAAAGTGAGAAGATGAGAAAGTAACACTGCTTTCTATGAACCTTTGACTTCTCTGTAAAACACGGTAAATAAATAACACAAAAGATGAATTCTCGAAACACTGCCCAGGACCTCAAGGAAAAACAAAATATGTCCCCTAGGAGTTCATTTTCAGGAGATAAGTATAATGAAGTGATGGAGAAATTAAATGCTATTTAGTTAAAAGGGCAGAAAGAGAGGTGGATGTTAGTCAGACCGGAGAAGACTTTATGGAGGAGAGAGAACTGGAGGGGGATGAGAGGGGTAATAATGAAGGTGAGGCCTCATACTCAATGTAGAAAATAAAATGAGCCAAGTCGTGCAGCTGACGTTTAATTCCCCACCCCACCCTCCTTTAAAGACCGACTTACTATAATTATAAAGAATTAAAAATTAAAACTTCATCTCTCTTCTTTTAGCTGAGGCTCTTCATGTGACCCAGGTTGTATCTAACACTGATCTCCCCTGCCCCTGCAAGGTGGGAAGATGGAAGGGAGCAAAGTGAGATCCAGACACATACAGGAAGGGATCACTTGGGGTGGTTTTGGTCCAGTTACCATAATGGGGTTCCTTGGTTTCCCAGCTCTTCTGGAAGTTCTGAATGATACCTAATGGCTTGTAGTAAATCCCTTATACTTTCTATTACCTGTAAGTAAGAATTCTGGCCAATACTGGTGTTAAGGCAGTATTTTAGTTGCCTTGAAGATACTGACCTGCCTGGACCTTGTGTTATAACTGGGCAAGTTGGTTAGATTAGAAAAGGATTTAAACTTGTGTCATCCCTGGTTGAACAGAGAGATGATAAACAAGAATAGTAAAATGTAATTAATAGAATTTAGGTGTTAGGTATATGGATGATAACCGTACATTTAAAAATATTTTTGGTCTGTTTGGACATTTTCATAAATGTTTGGAAAACAAAAGCTTCTGGAAAAGGTATTTACCTGCTCCAAGTAAATTTGACATTCCCTTTAAAACTCTGTCATTGCTAGATTATTGTTTCTAAGTGTTAGAGATTTTTGAAGAATGGGAGGAGTGTTAGCAGACTGCAGAGGGGTAACTGCAGCTGTGATTTCATGAGGAAAAGAAGTTGGAAATGAAAACTAATAAGTGGGTTGAACATCTCTTTCAGGCAAGAGTTTAGAATGATTCATGACAGAGCAAGACCAACAGACTCAGGTGTGCAAGACAAAGTTTCTGTATTAACCCTTTTCAAATTAGTTATATATTAATTCTGAGTTAATTACCATCAGGAACAAGATGGTAAATATATATATATATATATCACACATAAATTAAAGTTTTAAGATAAATGATAGAAGGCAATTCAAAGGAACCTGTTCTTTAATTCAAATAGTTTTTAAAAAATGGTGGGGCAAAGTGTTATCATGAAAAGGCTTAATTTTTCAGTTTCTGTGATTTCATACTGTAATGCTAAGCATAACAAAACTCTATCCTATTCTTTTGTTTCATTTTTGTATTTTTGAGACAGGTTCTTGCAGTGTAGCCCAGGCTGGCCTCAAATCTACCATCCTTGCCTCTGCCTCCTTAGTGCTGGGATTGCAATTGTTCACCACCACACCCACGTTATTCTCCTTTCTTTATAAATATGATGCAAGGAAATAGTTAACTTGTAGCTACATTGTTGTTTAGGAAGAAGCAGAAGAGAAATTGAGAAAGCAGAAAGAGATGAAGCAAGATTTTGAAGAACAAATGGCACTGAAGGAACTAGTCCTACAGGCTGCAAAAGAAGAAGAGGATATCTTTAGGAAAGCTATGTTAGCTAAGCTTGCTGAGGATGACAGAATAGAATTAATGAATGCTCAGAAACAAAGAATGAAACAACTGGAACACAGGCGGGCTGTGGAAAAACTGATCGAAGATCGTCGCAACCAGTTCCTTGCAGACAAAGTAAGAAAGATTTGTTTTTTTGGTTGTCATTGAGCAGCACCAGTTCTGTTCATCCATGAAACATTCCCTAAGAACTTTCTAGGTGCCAGACAATATTAGGCACATGTTTACCAATCATATGATATATGAATTTTCTGACCAATTTTTTATCAAGGTATCTAGAAACTATTGATGCTTTCTATGTGCTAAACACTGGTTCGTGTTGAGACCATAAAGGTAAGTAAACTAAAACCATACCATCTGTGAAGTTATGTTCTTGGTTAAGAAAAGCCACAAAAACCAATGATAAAGATCTGCATATGCGACGATCATTCTACAATAGTATGTGTTGGCATGGCAGAAAGGGGTGACAGGTTCTGAATACGTCAGATGGTATTATGAGAAGGTGGGCTTTTTCCAATGGGACCACTGAAGAATCAGGAATGCTGCATGCTAGGATCTGCATTTGGAAAGGTGATTTGAGTAGCAACACTGAGCGTGGATGTGAGGGAAGTGACACTGCAGAGAGGGAGACCAGGAAGGAATTTCTTAAATCCCAGTGATAAGAGGTAAAACCCATGCAGAGAAGGAACCCATCTTAGAGACTTAGGCTACAGAATTGATGGTGTTTGGTAACGCTAAATTTGGAAAGGTGAGAGAACACTTAAGGCTCCTACTAATAAGAAACAACTATTAATTCCATCTTCAATGACTGGGTGATGTCTAAAGCAAGAAGGAAGGGAGCTATAATATCATTTGGTCCACATTGACTTTGAGGCCAAAGGGGAAAATTTCTTGTTGGAAATACGGATTTAGGAGCCAGAGAGGGAACTAGGCTTTGATTTCGGACACGCTGATTAATGAGTTTACATTTAATCAATAAAACTGAAGGAATATTCATATAATGTATGTCACTAGATGGTTGCATTTTAAAAACCAGATGAGATCATGTACAAGTGCTTTGAAAAGGTAGAGTTCTAAATATGAAAAGTACAGTGTTTTAAGCATATAGTCAATGTGTGTGTGTGTGTGTGTGTGTGTGTGTGTGTATATGTATATAATTAGCTGCAATTATAGGCATTCACTACCATGCCCAGCCAATATTCAATATTTTAAAGAAATAATACAAGTGTTAATAATAATGACTTTTATTAATCATTATTAACTATTCCAATCTCATTACAAAGTAATGACTTAATTTTCCAACCCCTTGAGTTGGATATTGTTGCCATCTCCATTTTAAAGATGTGGAAACCAAGGCATAGAGGATTATATAATATTCTCCAAGGTTTCACAGTAAGTAAGTGGCAGAGCTTGAATCAATAAATCAATATCAGAGTGTTGATCTTTTTCTTCAAGGAGAGACAGAATTCCCAGGATACTTTTGTAAGCAACAGACACTGACCTGCTAGACATTCTCATGAGTGCTGGTGAGACACCAAAACAAATAAAAGTTCATTCTGGTAACTTCTGATGAGTGCAGAAACCAGGCATTGGTGCCTAGAAAATGAAGTTATACATAAAACTAAGAATACATTTCTTCAATGTACAGTGTAAACATTTATAGAATTTGGTAGTGTACAGTTTTCTAATTGTGCAGAGCTTTGTGGGTGTATGTGGAAATGCATAAGAGGATAAAAGGAAAAGAGGAGGCTATTCTAAGTTGGCAGCAGGTGGACTTCTATCACAGCAACATACTTCCATGATAGGCAGATTAGATCCAATACAGTAGGAAGCTGATTGCTGTAGTACTGAATATATTGTAGTCTTGAACAAAGAGAAAATAGTAATTCAAGAGTGAGGTGATGGACTGGAAGTGTGGCTCAAGTGGTAGAGCACCTGCTTGGCAAGCTAGAAACCCTGAGTTCAAACCCCAGTCTCACCAAAAAAATAAGAGTGAGGTGGTGACATGGAATAGGCTATAAATACAGCAAGAGGAGGAGACAGGAAAGAATGTAAATATGAATTTTAAGAATACTTTTTTTAGAGGAATAGATGAGAATTGTATGCATTTTTTAACCATATAGCATAGACTAGTGGAAGTAATCAAAGTAATTCAAAGGTTTCAAAAGTGAGAAACTCAAGGAATATGAGGGCTATTATATTTTAAGTTATAGCTAGATGATATAATCATTGTTCTTGTAACTTTAAAGGAATAATGATGGTAAAAGAAATACAGATCTGTACAGACATACAAAATAATATATATAAAAGATAAACACTAGTATTTTTTGAACTTAGTATTATAATCAATTTTAACATCTAATTCATAGCAAGAATAGTTTTATTTGAAAACTTCCTAAGAGATTAATGTGCTTTGTAACAGTTAATAAAATTTGATTTGCATTTCCAGAAACGTGAACTGGAAGAATGGCAGTTGCAGCAAAGAAGACAAGGGTGCATTAATGAAATTATTGAGGAAGAAAGACTGAAACTTCTCAAAGAACATGCTACAAAACTACTCGGGTATCTCCCCAAGGTGAGACTCACCTCTAAAAATGAAGAGAACATGAAGTTAGGATGTTAAAGGGTGCGGATGTCATTTGCTTGTTCCTGTTAGGAAGCCTCGTGGGATCTTGGCAGGTGTTGAACCTCTCTGAGTCAGTTTAGACATGTCTCAAATAAGAATTGGTCTTGGTACATTACGAGAGGAAAGAGCTAGATTTATTGAATTTATGTTCTCGTGGAGGCTCCTTCTCCTTTTAGCATAGAAGATCTAAAAATAAACTCCCCTAGAACAACTACAACGCTGGATATACCAAAGATGATGATGTAAGTGAAATGTTATCATTGGTAGCACCAGTGACAGGCACAGTCTAGCAATAAGTGTGAGACAAACTTACTGTGCAGTGCAGAAGGTGGTGTTGAATGAGGTACTCGGTAACCTCGGTTCTTAAAACTAATTCCAGAGGAAAGTGACTTTTCATGTGAGACACACTGTGACTATTAATAGGCCACCCAAACACCTAGAATCATAAATAAAATCACCATACTTAAAATACAGAAATGCTATTTGATTTTTTTATTAACTTGGTACAATGAAGTGTATATTTTTTCTTCAGTGCAGTACTAATGAAGGAGGGAGTATTACGAGTACAAGTATTGCCTGGCCACTGGGCCTTAAAGTCTGAATTGGTTAGATTGAATACAAAACAATGTATTAATGATAAAAATCCACACATAATCGATGTAGTTGATAAAAATAGGTTGTACTTTCCAAGAGAGTCTTTGGGTTTCAATATTTTTGTGGAGGCAAGAGGACCCCCCAAGAAGCCTGATGTCACGTTATGACCTTATCCCCTAGATCCCAACGGCCCCAGACAACCTAAGTGGACCTTTAAATCCTTTAAGTTGCAAGATAAATTCTTAAGTTTAATTTTGTTTAAAGGAACCTTTCTCTATATACTGTAGGCAAAAAGATTAGAAGAGTGAAGCATTTCAGGGGCTTGCCTAAATGACTTAACTCCAAACCTGGATTCTTTCTGCGAGATGCAGTGTTTGTTTATGAAGTGGCACAAAGGCAGGTCGAAGAAATCCCATGCACGAGTCCAGCACAGCTGTGTCTTCCCCTCCACCATCCTCCTGTCAACAGAGGTGCTTAAGATAGGGGAATTCCTTTTCTTCCAAAGCCAATTAATTTACAGTTTATTAACTATAAACTAGTATTTATAATTAAGTAGAAGAAGAGTCCAGATTCCTGTGACAAATTTCAACCCTGGAGATGGTAAATCAGGAAACTGATTTAAGAATATTCCATATATATAAAGTCATAATTTTTGGAAAATACTGATTTTCAAAAATGTTTCATACTGAATAGGCTTCATTATCCTGGATAATTTTATTAAGCTCATGTCTATATGTTAGTCTTAAAAGCATTCAGTGAAATATTCTGGCATTTGAAAGTAACCCATACAAATTTTTCTTGTAGGGAGTGTTTAAGAAAGAGGATGACGTTGACATGCTTGGCGAAGAGTTTAGGAGAGCCTATCAGAAAAGGAGTGAGGTTTGTGAAGACAAGTGACACCATTTTTGGTAAACCTAGGTTCTTATGCATGTGACCACTAGATGGCAGTGTGACTTCTGTTTTACAATTCAATGCTAGTAGGAATCCATTGCTTATTTGGATTTTCTAAAACATCAGTGTATTTCATAATTTAGAAACAATTGTCAGATGAAAATTAAATACATTAATACTTTGAAAAATTATTTCTAGTTATTTTTATACTGATAATTTGAAGTTTGAATTCTGTGACATCATGTTACAATTATGTGTGTGTGTGTGTGTGAGTGATACTAACTTCTCAGTACCTCTAGTACTGTTGGGAGACTTTTCTGTATCTCCATCCTCAAGACAGTCTTGTTTTTTTTTTTTTTCAAAGAAACATAATTTTTTTCTATTGTTGTGCTGGGTGGAGATACTGTTCTTAACAAATACAGAGCTCCAGCCCAAAGTGGGCAGCCTTGTCCGTATTCTTGTTTAGGAACTTTATTCCTTGATTTGGCCAGGTAAATATTTAGAGCTTGGGTTTACACCATATCTTGCTGTCTAGTGTAAGGGAAGAGAAAAGGAAAGAGTAAAGAATTTAAAGCGCTTTATTTCCTAATGCGCTTAACTGTCACATCAAGAAAGTTTCTCCCAGCTAAACTATCATTTATGGACTGGACTTCACTCTCCAGAACATAACATTTTTTTCTTTTATTTATTTTTTAATTTAATTCACAGATAAAGTTGAACATGTTTAGAAATACATATCCATTGTGGATGGCTAAATCCTAGCTAATTTGAAACACATTACATCATTAGTTAGCATTTTCCCAATGAGAAAACTTAACATCTACTCTGCAGTTTTCAAGAACACAGTTTTATCATTAAGTATGGTCACTATACTGTACAATCTCTCTGCATTTATTATTTAGCTAACTGTAATTCTAGATCCTTTGACCAACATCTCCCAGTGCCTCCTCCCCTTTTGTCTCCTAGCCTCTGCTATCCAGGATTCTGCTATTTCCAAGAGGTCAACTTTTTTTTTAGATTCCACATATAAGTGAGATCACAGCATTTGTCTTTCTGTACCTAGCTTCAAGAACGTAATGACGGTGTTGCTACAAATGACAGAATTTCATTTTTATGACTGAATACTATTCCATTGTGTATATACATTTTCTTGACCCATTTACCTACTGATAAACACTAAGGTTGGTTCTCTATCTTGACTACTGTGAATGGTACTGTAATAAACAGGGAAGTGTCTCTTCAACATACTGATTTCATTTTATTTGGCTGTACCCCCAGTAATGAGGTAACTCTTTTCAAGTTTATGAGGAATCTACATGCTGGCTGTATTGTTTTCTGTAATGATTGACACTTCCACCCACAGTGTGCAAGTGTTCCCTTTTCTCCACATTCTTGCCAACTTTTTTTTTTTGATAATAGCTATTCTAATTGGGTGGGTGATAACTCAGTGTGGTTTTACTTAGCATTTTCCTGATGGTAAGTGATGCTGAGAATTTTTTCACATGTTCATATTGGCCGCTTATGTCTTCTTCAAGGAATGTTTACTCAGGATTTTTTGCCCATTTTTTAATTGGGCTGTTTGTTTTGTTGTTATTGAGTTGTTCGAGGTCCTTACATAGTTTTGGATATTAACTTATCAGATTTATACTTTGCATTTTTTTTTTTTTACCTTTTCTCTCACTCCATTGTTTCCTTTGCTTTGTAGCAGTTTTTCAGTTTGATGGAATCCATCATTATTTTTGCTTTTGTGGCCTGTGCTTTTGAGGTCATATCCCAGATCAATGTCATGGAGCCTTTCCACTGTTCTCTTGTAGTAGTTTCCAGGTTGCAGGCCTTACATTTGAGTCTTTGGTCTACTTTAAGTTGGTTTTTGTAAATACTTAAGAGATAAGAGTCTCACACTCTCCTGCATGTGAATCTGTTTTCCCAGCACCATGTTTTATACAGACTGTCTTTCCCCATTGTATGTTCTTAGCACTTTTGTCAAAAATCAGTGGGCTATAAATGTGTGGATTTATTTCTGAACTCTCTTTTCAGTTCCATTGGTATACAGGTTTGATGTTTTTATTTTGCTAGTGTCATACTATCAAAACATTAACAGAGCTTTTCATAGTATGCTTTAAATCAGGCAATATGATGTCTCTGGCTTTGTTCTTTTTACTCAAGAATACTTTAGTGATGTGGATTCTTGCCTTTTCATGTGAATTTTAGGATTTTTTTTTTCTATTTCTGTGAAGAATGTTGTGGGTATTTGATAGGGATTGCAGTGAATCTATCGATCTGTTGGGTAGAACAGACATTCCAATGATATTCTTCTAATCCATGCACATGAAATACCTTTTACTTATGTCTTTTTCAATTTCCTTCAGCATTGTTTTATAGTTTTCAGTGAAAAATTTTCTACCTTCTACCTTCTTGGTTGATTTTACACATGTATCTTTTTGGTAGCTATTGTAAATGGGATTGCTTTCTTGATTTTTTTTCTCAGATCCTCAGCTATTAATGGGTTGAAATGCTACTGATTTTTGTATGTTCCTTTTTGTATTTTATTACTTTATAAAGTTTATTTGGTCTACAAGATTTTTTAGTCTTCAGGGTCCTATATGTGTGTATATATATGATGTTACCTACAAACAGACAGTTTAATTTTCTCTTTCCTATTTGGATGCCTTCTCTTTGCCGTGTCCAATTGCTCTGGCTAGGACTTCCACTGCTATCTTGAATATACTTGGCAAAGTGAGCATCCTTCGTCTTGTTCCAAATCTTAGAGGAAAGCTTCAAGTTTTCACCATTTGGTCTGCTAGCTGTAGGTTTGTCATATATGGCTTTTATTGTGTTGAGGTACACTCCTATAGTTTTTATTATGAAAGGATATTCTTTTAAGTGCTTCTTTTCCTGCTCTGTTGAAATTACCAGATTTTTGTTAATGTGACAGATCACATTTATTGATTTGCATATGGTAAACCATTCTTGCATCCCCATGATGAAACCCACTTGATCACAGTGAATGATCTTTTTAATTTGGTTTGCTGGTGTTTTGTTGAGGATTTCTGCACGTGTGTTCAGCAGGGATACTGGCCTGTACTTTTGCTTTTTTTTTTTTTTTTTTTTTTGCCATTGTCTGGTTTTGGCATGGGGAATGCTAGTTTAGTAGAATGAGTCCAGAAGAATTCCTCTTTTTTTTCCTCCTTTAATTTTTTAGCAGTTTTGGAAGAACTGTTATTAGTTATTCTGTAAATGTTTTTAGAATTCAGCAATGACATTTTCAGGTCCATAGGTTTTTCTTTGGAACTTTTTATTATGGATTTAATCTTTCCCATTATTGTATTGTTCAGACTTCTGTGTCTTCATAATTCAATCTTGGTAGGTTGTCTGTGTCCAAGAATGTATCCACTTCATTTAGGTTACCTAATTGATTAGCATATAATTGTACAAAAGTATCTCTTATGGTCCTTTGTATTTCTGTGGTATCATTGGTATGTCTCCTTTTTCATCTCTGATTTTTTTTTTTTTTTTGGTAATACTGGGGATTGAATTCAGGACCTCGTACTTGCTCTGCAAATTTGAGCCATGCCCCCAAGCCCTTCATCTCTGACTTTATCTGAGTATTTTTTTCTTAGTCTAGCGAAAGGTTTGCTGATTTTATTTTTTCAAAAAACCAACTGTTTCATTGGTATTTTATGTATGTCAAATATGCTTTATTCAAAATGCTTGGGACCAGAAGTGTTTCAATTTTTTCATATTTTGGGATATCTGCATACACATAATGAGATGTCTTGGAGATGGGAACAAAGTCTAAACACAAAATTCATTTTTAAATGTACCTTAGACACAGCCTGAAGGTGATTTTCTACAGTGTTTTTCATGAACCTGTGTCTTATAACCTGTCACATAAAGCTAGGTACAGAATTTTTCACTTACGGTATTAAGTCAGTGATCAAATGTTTCAGATTTTGGAGCATTTTATATTAAGGATGTCTAACCTGCATTGTTCTGATCTCCAGTTATTTCTGCTCTGATGTAGTTGCTTCCTCTCTTATACTATTTTGGACTGAGGGGTTTTTTTGCATTGCTGAGATGACATCTTTTGGCAGACATTTATAGCAATAAATATTGCTATAAATATGCTCTTGCTGTGTCCCATACATTTTGTTTTGTTACCATTTTTGTTTGAGAGAAAATTTTTAAATTTCCCTTTTATTTTGTTCATTGACCAACTGGTTATTTGGGAACATGATAATAAAGTGTCTGAAGTTTCTCCTGTTGATTGATTTCTACCTTTATTCTGCTGTAATCTAAAAAGATACTTGATATAATCTCAGTCCTTTTAAATTTGTTTGTTTTGTGGACTAACATGTGATCTGTCCTGGAGAATATTCTGTGTGCACTCTGCTGTTCGATGGCTGTTTTGTGTATGACTAAACCATAATTCAAGGCCAATTTTTTTTGATAGTGTTTCTTTTTCCCCTTTATTATTTTTTTCATACAATGCTTGGGTCATTTCTCCCCCCTTCCCCCCACCCCCTCCCTTAACCACGCCACTCCCTCCCTCTCCCCCCACCCCCTCATTTCCAGGCAGAAACCATTTTGCCCTTCTCTCTAATTTTGTTGAAGAGAGAGTATAAGCAATAATAGGAAGGACCAAGCGTTTTTGCTAGTTGAGATAAGGATAGCTGTACAGGGAGTTGACTCGCATTGCTTTCCTGTGTATGTGTGTTACCTTCTAGGTTAATTCTTCTCAAACTAACCTTTTCTCTAGTTCCTGGTTCCCTTCTCCTATTGAAGGCCAATGTTTCTTTACCAATGTTCTGTGAAGATGACGTCTTCATTGTTGAATGAGGGGTGTGGACAGCCTCTATGATTTTAATTTTACAGCCTGAGTTTCCCTTCAAATCATCTAATATAAATTGCTTTATGTATTTGGGTGCTGTAGTGTTGGGTGCATATATATTTACAAATGTTATATCTTATTGGTGACATAATTATCTTACTATTATATAAGGATC